CAAGAAGTACACAAGGAATCAGGCATTTAATTTACCTTCCCTATGCAAAATGTGTCAGTGGGCAACTAAAGGGCAGTTGAGGGTAAGTTTCTCTTTATAGAAATATTCCTGCTAATAAAAGAATAAGTGATAGAAGTGTTATAGCCCTAATGAACTGATATACTTAGGGACTGATCGTCAATGGCTGCTAACATCACCCAAAGACAGAAAGCCAGCCATTATGCACCTCCTAGTGGGAGAAGGCACTACCTATGAGAGAGTCTTGTCAAAATAAATCTGATCAAGTTCTAAAGCAGATCCAACTACCAATTTATAGGAAATACAGAGAAGGGAGCATGTTAAACTACATCACAGAAGATGCCTTCAGCAAAATCCAGACCCTGGGACTCTTCTCAGAACAACCTGGTTTCTTCAACAAATTAATTGCAAGGAAATAAAAGAGATGTGTGTAGGGAGGTGGGGTTGGCTATAGATTAAAAGAAAATCTAAAGTCCTGTCAACTGATCTTGATTCAAATCATAAAAATAACATAAAAACACATTTATGGCATGAGATAATTAGAAATGTGAAACAGTGATATTAATGAATTATTAACTTTTTAGGTGTGATAATGGTACTGTAGTTGTGTTAAAAAGAGTCCATGTCTTTTAGAAATGCACACTGAACTATTTAAATATGAAATATGATGCCAGGGATTTGCTTCAAAATAATGCAGGAGGTGAACAGGTGTTTAAATAAAAATAATGTTGACTATGATTTGACAATTATTAAGGCTGAGTGATTGGAACAAGGAGGTTCATTAAACTATATTTCTTTACTTTTATATGCTCAGAATTCCCTATAATAAGAAACTGAAAAAAAAAAGAGTTAAAGACTTATAGAAAGCTAATCATATAACAGTGGGTGCATTTGTCAAAACTCATAGAACAGAAACACAAGTGAACCCCGGGGTAAACCATGGACTCTGGGTGATGATGCGTCAAGGCAGGTTTGGGATTGTGCCAATGTCCCACCTGCTCCAGACGCTGATGATGAGAGGGGCTGGGTGTGTGGAGAGGGGGTATGAGGGAGCTATTTTTTGTTCAGTTTTGCTTTGAACCTGAAACTGCTCTAAAAATAAAATCTATTAACAAAAAGTTAATTGCATAACTGAAATACCTGGTTTTGATCCCACTCTTGCATGCAACACGATGGGGGCGGGGTGGGGGGACCAAAGTCTCTTATGTCTCGCACTAGTTAACTGCAGCACCCAGGCGAGTCACAGAACTTTACCACCAAAGGTTACTTACTTCCCGCTTGGAATGTCTTGGTTCCTCATGTGTGAGATCAGGAAAGCAATACCTGCCCTACTTTGCTCGCTGGCTTGAGGTGAAGATAAAATGAAATCACGTGCAAGTGTTAAAGACTGTCCCGCAGTAAGTGCTGGAGTGTCAACTGCAAGCCCATTGCCACCTGATGATTATCAGAAGGGTGCTGGGGGCACGCCCGCCCAGCTAAGGGATTTGGAGCCAACGGGAGTTCAGCTCAGTCCCTTTTGAAACTCTCCAAGGCCTTGGTTTCTTCCTCGTCCCACCTCCTCTCATGATCTCCCCCTTTCTTTCTGTGGCAAGCAGGGTGGAGCTGAACTGTAGCCAGCTCTTGGGCTTGTGCAGACGTGTACACGACAACAACGGCAGCTGTAGGTCTTTACAGCGGCGGTCCCCAACCTTTCTGGCACCAGGGGCCGGTTTCCTGAACATGATTTTTCCAGGGGTGGGGCGGGGGGCTCCGGTGGTGCTGCGTGGCCAGGTTTCCAGCAGGCCACCCACGGCGGGGGACGTTGGACGACTGCCACCAGGAGGTTGGGTGGGGACCTCGGCTTCTGGGAACTGCACCCACTTGTCTGTTGTCCTAACCTGCAGAAGTCTTTGTTCAAAGGAAATCTGACCCAGACCCCAACAAATCAAGGAGGCAGTGGGAGGACTGCTCTGGTTTGTGGGGCTTTGGTTCTCGCCTGGGGCGGGTTTGCCTCAGGGACCTCTAGTGGCGTCTGGAGACACTTTTGGGGTCGCGACCGCAGAGGGGTTGCTAGTGACACCTCATGGGCAGAAGCCGGGGATGCACTGAACGCCCACAGCGCCCAGCGCTCAGCCCCCACGCCTCGCCCGCCCGCTGCAGCTGCGCCGGGCTCCAGCATGGGAGAGGGGACTGCGCGCGGCCACCCGGCTCCCGCGGGGGAGAGGGGACTGTGCTGCCGCCCGGCTCCCGCGGGGGAGAGGGGACTGTGCTACCACCGGGCTCCCGCGGGGGAGAGGGGACTGCGCGTGGCCACCGCGGCCCCCAGCGCGCGGCCGAGAGGGGACGCCCCACGGCGCTGCCCACAAGTATCTCCTGAAGGCTGGGGGTCCAGGCTCCAGCCTGCTGGTCACCCGGAGAAGACACCGCCGAGCGCCTCCTTGGAGGCGGCTCTGAGCCTTCTGCGCCTCGTCGCGCCGGCCGCCCGTGGCCCTCACGGCGCCCCGCAGCGCGCAGGGCGGGAGGCTGGGCGAGCCGGCGGGGTGGCACCGGCAGGCAGCGCGGTTCCGGCGCAGCCGCAGTCGCAGTGCGGCGGCTCCGAGCGCTGTGCGCCGCTCTCCCGGCACCGCCGGGCGCGGGCCTCTACCCGGGCCGGGCTCCGCGCCCTCCGCGGTCTGCGCCTCCGCGCCGCGCCTGCCACCTCTCCTCGTCCGGGCGGGACCTCCGGGCCGGTGGAAACCGTGTCGGCGTGACGGCCACGCGCCGGCACAGCCCTACACGTCTGGCGCGGCACTGGGCGCAGGCGGGGATCCCTCCCGTCCGCACGCGACGACTCGAGTTCCCTTACCCACAGCGAGCGCGGCGCGAGTCATCTGTTCCGCAAAGAGCTGTTTTAAACGGTTTCCTTCCTCGCAGCAATTACCTCGACGCAAGCCTCCTGACAGCAAGGTCCCCAGTCACTCAGTGAACGTGAGCGCTCGGCGGGGCGGGAGAGGCCGAGAGCTGCGGCACTCCTGCAGGAGCACTCCTGCGGGAGCATCGTCTCTCCTGCGGGAGCACCGTCTCTCCTGCGGGAGCACCGACACTCCTGCGGGAGCATTGTCTCTCCTGCGGGAGCACTCCTGTGGGAGCAACATCTCCCCTGCGGGAGCACTTCTGCGGGAGCACCGGCTGGACCGCTCCAGTTCTTGGAGGTGTAAAGGCGGCAGGCACAGTCCTGGCCTTGCGGACCTGACAGTCTAGTTGGTACGGCGTGCTCTGCACTTTAAAGGATAAATAGCAACACCAGCCCTGTGCGTGTGCTCTGAGCACGTGCTGTGGGGATCCCAGAGGGCTGAATAAGTCAGGGAAGGCTTTTTGGAGAAGGTCTTGAGGTGGGCCTGGACCACAAATCACTCCTCTGAGACCCAGATGTGGGAGACTCTTCTGAGAGCAGGACTGGCACGCAGAGCTGTCTGTGCCCTGAGGTTCCTCCCATGGATGCTCAGGGCCGAGAAAGGGACCCAGACCCTCATGAAGGACCAACGCACCAGCGTCCAGGACTTAAGGAAGGGTCAGGTCAAAGAGGGCCTTGAATTCCAAGTTAAAAAGATCTTATCCCACAAGCCGGAGTAACCGAGGAGACCAACAGTTCTTACGCACTGAAGTAGGGGAGCAAAGAGAGCATTTGGGGACTGGCCCTAGGAAACCACTACCGCTGTCATGTCCAGACCCTGTGGGGAGGGGAAGTGGGGGGTGTGGGCCTGCAAGCTGCAGGTGACCATTTTCCCCACTAGGAAAAGGAACGAAGCCAACACGCGGAGCAAGATGGAGAAGAGTCCCGGCGGGGTCAGGGCCCTGAGCCCCAGCTGTGTCTCAGCCTGTATGGGATTCCCGGCGAGCCAGTTAGGGGCTCGTTTTGCCCGTGTGTACTAAGTTTCTGTTGTAGTCTGTCATTAGAAAACAGAAACAGTCTGATTTAATATATCAGTGAAAATTTGCTCTTAAGAAAGATCTAACAAATCAATTCATTCAGTGAATTTGTCACTGATAAAAGCCTAATATGTTCCTTTGCCAGCAGGATACATCTTTTAATGAAGATTAATCAAAACTTAAACCAAATGAGTGGGGCTTCAAATGGTGGAACTGTAGGTAGTAAGGCAAGAAGGATGATTATTATGCTTTTGTTAGAGGTAGACAGTAAGCCTCTTTGGCAGCTTTAGGGTTGACCATGGGCTAAGTCCAGTCTTGATCCCAGAAGAGCTGGGGTGGGTGCCACTAGGCTTGTCCACTTTTGCAAGTAAATGCGAACCTCTGCTATTGCTCTAATTGCCACTAAAATTTTCTTCCTGTAATGGGTATGAATTCATCTTTGTGTTTTTCTGGAGTAAAGAAACTGAGGCTTAAAATCCCAGCTTCACCACTTGCCTGCCTTGGGCAAGCTACTTGGTCTCTGGGAAACCTCAATTTCCTCAATGTAAAATGAGAATTATAACAACATTTACTTCTTCTTATTTTTTTTTTTTCAGAGACAGGGTTTTGCTCTGTCACCCAGGCTGGAGTGCAGTGGTGCGATCATAGCTCACTCCAGCCTCAAACGCCTGGGCTCAAGCGATTCATCCATCAGCCTCCCGAGTAGCTGCAATCACAGGTGTGCACCACCATGCCCTGCTACCATTTACTTTTAAAGTTAAAATGATACTCCAAATGTGAAAATGCTTGGTGAAAGGTGAAGTTCTGCACAAATGAGAGCCACAGTGCCGGCTCGTGGGGACCTGGGTTTCTAGGTGCAGGACAGAGGTGGGAGTGCAGGGGGTGATTACAGAGGACACAGTTTGGAAAAAACCTCTGCCTCTACCTGAGCAGTGATAATCCAAAAGAGCGAGAAGACGCTGAAAGGCGTGTCGGCTCCTCAGTAGGCTGAGGGGAGCACTGGGTGGGAGGGGCCACAGGAAAAGTTGCACAAACTGTGTGGTGTGACGGGGACCAGGACCCCGGGCTTCCCATTCTGGGACGTGTCCCCTTACCAGGTTGATGCCACTTGCTTCTACATGCTGGAGGAGGATGCTGCCCACGAGCTCTGTGTCCCACTGCACTCCTGGGTCATCTGGGAAATCCCTGCAAGGGAGAGGCATGACTTGAACATGTTTTCTCATCAGGCACAACCTTCTCCCTAAGCTCCAGTAGGTCGGTGCCCAGTTTTGTGACAATAATTATATTGAGGGTGGGTCCCAACCCTTAAGGTACTCAGATTTCAGTTAAAGAAATAAAATTTAAGCCGGGTGCGGTGGCTCACGCCTGTAATCCTAGCTCTCTGGGAGGCTGAGGGAGGGGTGGGGGGGGGCGGATCATTTGAGATCAGGAGTTCAAGACCAGCCTGAGTGAGAGGGAGACCACATCTCTACAAAAAATAGAAAAAAAAAACTATTAGCAGGCATCGTGGCACATGCGTAGTCTCAGCTACTCAGGAGGCTAAGGCGGAGATTCGCTTGAGGCCAAGACTTTGAGGTTGCAGTGAGCTATGTGATGCCACTACACTCTAGCCAGAGGGTAACAGAATGACGACTCTGGTTGAAAAAAATAGAATAAATAAATAAAATTTTACAAACATGGAACAATTAGAAATCAATGCACAAACATATACAACATACTTCTTTGGAGCTTTGTGTTTGTTGCTGAGAGAAGAAACAGTATTAATGAAGATAGATCTTCGCTCCACGAAGTTAGGAGACAGATGTGTTAAACAATAACCTGAACAAGCAGGACGATATGCCACTTTATAACAATAATAGTAATAGTGCTTTAATAAAAGTACAAACATAGCAAAACCCCTATCTACAAAAAAAATTTAGCCAGGCATGGGGGGCATGTGCCTATATTCCACAGTATCTTGGGGCGGGCTGAAGCCAGATGATCACTTGAGCCAGGATTTGAGTTTCAGTGAGCTAGATCTCACCACTGCATTCCAGCCTGGCCAACAACTAGATCCCATCTCCTAATAAAAATAAAAATAAAAAAATTATAAAAGGGTGATAGAATACTTCAGTTTAACCACATGACATCTTTTAAGGAGCCTTTACAACAAAAAAAAGATTATTAGTAGGCGCTATGTGAAGTGTTAATGATGATCCTAGGTTTTCTTTTTTTCTTTTTTTTTCTTTTTTTAAGACAGGTTTCACTTCTGTGTGCCCAGGCTAGAGTGGGTGCCGTGGCGTCGCCTAGCTCACAGAACCTCAACTCCTGGGCTCAATGCGGGATCCTCCTGCCTTCAGCCCTCCGAGTAGCTGGGATAAGGCATGGTACCACCATGGCGCGGCTAATTTCTATATATCATAGTTTTCCAATTAATTCTCTCGATCATTATTTTATAGAGCAGACTAGGTCCTCGCTGTGCTCAGGGCTGGTGTTCGAACTCCTGACCTTGAGACAATCTCCCGGCCTTGGCTCCCAGGACTCTGCCTTACAGGCGTGAGCACTGGTGCTGGCCTGAACCGTAGCGTTTCACTGACTAAGCCAAGATGTTGTAGCCCCTGGGAGCCAGCTACGTCCCTCCCCGCCATCGGGAAGGGCCGCCACACGTCAGGAGCAGAGTCTCTACCAGAATAATCTTGCAATCTTTCCGTGCTCCACCTGGCATCTCCACAGGCCCATCTCCTTCCACTCGTGAATCCTTCTTCGCCTTTTTTGCACTTTGATCTATGGTGTCAGCTGACATGGAGGGGCCAAGGCCTCAATTGACCCCCTTTTGTGGCAATATTATTCCACGTCTCATAAACAGATAACGACTCTCTCGGTTCAGGTCCTGCGCAGAACACCCACAATGCTGAGAGGAATGGGCTCCCTTTGCTCCTACCAGGGAGGCTGCGTCACCTCCCGTGGACAAAGTCATTAACTGACCCTCATAGGACTTGGGCAAAGGAGAGTCACTGGGGCTGTTTTCAGCAGGAAATGATACACCAGCTCCAGCAATAACTATGCTGTTATTTCCTTCCCTCCGTTGGCTGCTCTGCTAACCCCTTAGGCTGCTTCTGCAGGAGGGCGGCTTTGTGCTTTTCAGAGCCCTGACTGTCAGCCACTCCATGCGGTTCTCATGGGTGCTTGGCAGCAAAGCGACAGGACAGCCTGGCAAGGGGGCGGGGACAGGGAGAAAGGATGAAGTAGGACCAGGACAGAGTCCAGGCTTGTTCCTGGATGGAGATGAACGTGTGTGTAAAACACGACCTGCTGCTGCACATGGCTGAAGGAGAAACAGATGCAGGAGCCACAGAAAATTCCCTGGAGTGACAGTAGGCTGCAACATACTCCTGCCTTGGGTGCGCCACATACACGGGCCAAGGCATGTTTAGAAGGGAGCACACCGGCCATATTCGCGTGGAGCTTCAGCACGCAAGAGAAACGGGAGAAGAGGTGGGCGGAGCCTGTTAACGCTCGGTCCTGCAGCGCTGACAGTCGAGCCCCAAGGAGCGGAAGCCACTGGCTGCTCCATCTGCCCCCAGAGAGCTGGGATCTGCTCCGGGCGGCGGCGGGGAAGCCCCTTGGAGCCAGGCCCCACACAGGCGAGGCCAATGTTTGGGGACTGCGGACTGTAAACATCTGCCTGTGACGGGACACTGCTGACCAGGCAGCTCTGCGTCTGTGACCAAGTCCAGACTTCTTGGTCAGGATCCAAGTTTTCCCAGTCTACTGCCTGTTTTGATCCACTTCATTCTCTTTATTGAGAGAGCAATGAAGATAAGGGCCGGTGCAGAGCATTTATAAACTGTAAAGCGATGTGCAAATGCCAAAACAGTGGCTGTTACTGCTGCATTAGCCTAATTTAAGCCCCTTTAAAAAAATAAAAAATAAAGAAAGAGTTCCCAGTCCTCCTTTCCTGCTCTGGAGTCCCTTGCAGAGCTCTTTGCTGGCCGCCTCTGCCAGCAGCCAGGGTTCCACAGTGGGGATTAGGCATCCAGGAGATGAGTGAGGCGATCCACTGAGGAAAAGAAACCACTGGACTTTTTATTTACATGCTTTTCTATCTGTTAAGTTTCTATTTTGTAGCTATAAGGTGTCATATACTAACAGGGTTTCACATGTATACACTTTAAATAAATAAGCCCATAAATACGAGGCACATTACTCAAATTTTGTTTGTTGTTAGGGGAGTGTGATAAAAAAATGTTTGGAGATCACTGGTCCAATCTACTCCCTCTGCATTTTATTTTTTCCTGGATGTTTTAAACACAACTTTATTGACATAATTTACATAATATATAACTTACCTATTTCAAATGTACAATTTATTGATTTTTTTCCATAAGTGTATGGAACTTCTACACTTCATTTTACTAGTGCTTTGCATGTGTTTAACTCTTGACTCTCCAACCTATCTTAAGTCCCCTGATGGACGGACAGATTAGCCACTTACCAAGGTCCAACAGGAAAATGGAAGCCACCAGGTATTTAAGAAGGAATTTTATACAAGGTCTCGTTTACCCACTTGACGGGAAGAGCTGAGAGGCCAAACAAGGAACAATGAAACAGCCACAGACTGGCAACAGCGGGAGGGCACTGCCACCTCTAGGATGGGACACCAGGGCCGTGGAATGGGAGTGACAGTGGGAACCAAATGGCAGGAGCTAGCGTCACAGTAAACACCAAGCAGCTACGGGACATGCCACCCAAGGTGCAGGGAGAGGGACGTGCCCTGGTTTTCCCCTCCTTGACCTCCCAGTTGTCCATCACTGCCATCTGTTGGTTAAATCTACCCAGAAGCCAATTGGCACAGGAGCCTGAAAGTGTAGTTTCCATTGGTACAGAGCAAAGGGGTAAGATATCAGCCATGTCTTGCTGATGGCCAAGGTTCATGGATATTTATTTTCTCTTGCTGCTTAATATTGGCCCTAAACCTTCAAAGGGATGATTGCTGGATCATACATGGTTCTATTTTTCGTTTTTTGAGGAGCCCCATACTGTTTTCCATAATGGCTGTACTAATTTGCAATCCTGCCTACAGTGTTCAAGTGTTTCCTTTTCTCTCCATCCTTGCCAGTGCTTATCATTTGACTTTTTGACAACAGCCATCCTGACAGGCGTGAGGTGATTTCTCATTGTGGTTTCAATGTGCATGTCCCTGATGAGCCATGATGGTGAGCTCTTTTTCATACACCTGTTGGTCATGTGTATGTCTTCTTTGGGAAAATGTCTATTCAGGTAATTTGCCCACTTTTAAATCAGCTATTTGTTTTTTGGCTAATAAGTTGTATGAGTTCCTTATATATTATTTTCCTATTGGATACATGATTTGCAAATATTTTCTCCCATTCCATAGGCTGCCTTTTCATTTTATTGATCGCTTCCTTTGCTGTGCGGACTGTGCGGAAGCTTTTTAGTTTGATGTAGTCTTATTTGTTCCTTTTTGCTTTTGTTGCCTGTGCTTTTAGAGTCATAATCATAAAATCATTGCCAAGACAAGTGTCAAGGAGCTTTTCCCCATGTTTCCTTCTAGGGTTTTTATGGTTTAGGTTTTACGTTTAAGTCTTTAATCCATTTTGAGGTCATAAGCAATTTCTAGGTAAAAGGTAGGAGCAGAGCTCTTAGACAGTAAATAGTGTTAGGATGGTCAAAACCAGGCTACTGAAATCCTGTCTTCTTTATTTTACCACAGATCAGTCAAGCTTCCAATATTTATAGAGATCTGTTTATATTTTCAAATTTTCCCATTACTGTGTACCTTGCACTTAGAATAGTACCTAAGAGGCACTTATTAAACATTGTTTTCCCTTAACATTTTGTAGTGTTTTCTTCACTATTTCCCTCTGGTAGCCAAGAGTGGGAGGGACTATTCACCAGTGTTAGGAATAATACTGCTTGATTTTAGGCTAGTGCCACTCAGCAGCTGCTGATTTGTGACCCTAAAAAGGGCTGAGCACATATAGATGTTCTCTCCAAAATCCCCGTGCCATCTAGCTCTGTCTGTGGCAGACTCTAATACGACCAGCACTCCCAGAAAGATGCAGACATTGAAGTCAGAAAACAGAGCCTTCTGCTCAATGCCCTGGATCCTCCCTTCTCGTGGCATGCCTGCCTCTGTCCTCCGACAGCTTGGGACTCCTCCCTGCTCTTCCTTCTGCCCGGCCAAATCCAACACATCTTCTGGGGCCTAGCTTCAGGGCCGCCTCCTCCAAGATGCCTTCTGCAAGGAGTTTAGGGCCAACTGTGAAATTTAGAAGGCACAATCCCCTACACTTCCCTCATTTCTGACATCAACTGCAAGTTCAGGGGTTCCCCAAACCCCCTTCCCACTGAAAGCTGTGTGTTATAAGCATAGTTGCAGTGTATATCGGGGAAAGGAGAAAGAATAAAATCAGTCAAAGGAAGAGACACACAGCGCAGAGTCCAGGGCTCCCCATGCAGCGGATCCGTCGTCCTCCCCGTGGAGTGGGGACACGTCACTCGCGCATCAGCGTGTGACCGCACGAGGAGAAGTGCCAGCCAGGGAAGGTTGCCTGAGCTTCGGTGTTCGGAGTATCTGATGGGGCTCGTTACGTAGGCACGGCTAATTGAATGACTGACTGATTGCCCATGGTTGATCTCAGCCCCCAGGTGGACTGACACTGCATGGCCCAAAGCCCCCACCCCAGACAAAGACACTGGTATCAGATGTGACAGAGGTCACCTCCAGAAGCCCAGGGCAAAGGCCAGACTTCTCCGTGGGCAAGGCCAAATTCTTTACTACATTCCCTCCTGGTATTTAGGGGCCTTCGCTGAACCCCACAACCAACTGTGACCCTGACCACCCCACTCAACACCTAATTAGATATAGTATTCTATTACTTTTTTGTTGTGTTTTGTTATGTCTCCTTATCTGAAGTCAAAATATGAGCGTAGGTCTGTGTCTCACTCTTCTATTTCTCAAGCAGTTCTTAGTCTAATTCAAGTCACAGAACAATTTATTTAAATAAACAACAACAAGTAATGGTGCTTCTCCCACGGGCAAGGCAGCGTGCCGGGCAGCTTCACAGCACTAGCTGGGCGACAGAAGCAGCGCGGCTGAGCCGAAGGCAGTCACACCAGCCTCTGGGGCTTATGCCTGCAAGCAAGGGGCTGGAGGACGGCAACTTTATACAACAGGAAAGGGAGAAAGGGGGAAAAGGTATGGGGGAAAGGGTATGGATTGGGTGGGGAACAGGTATCCCAATGGGACCCCTTCTCCTCAATGTAGGAAAATAATAAAATTTGATACTGGGAAATGTCAAACAGACAAATGTAGAAAAACCTCCTTTAAGACCAATAAACAACCTGAGCTGTCCTTTGCCTAAAGTTCAGCCCTAGTCGGTTCAAGGCCCGGACCCGAGTAATAACATTACATGGTTTCTGTCTTCTCTGGCAAAGTTACAGCCTGCCCTAGACAAACGCCTCGGCGGCACGTAAACAGTGTTGCGCGTCAGCCTTTGACCCTTCCTGAGACAGTTAATGAGTGACCTTTGCCGGGTCCCTCTTCTCGCTGGCGGGAACCGCACATGGTGTCCAGAACCGGAGTGACCGCCTGGGTCCACGAAGTAATCCTGGGCATGAAAGCCACGCAGCAGAGTGGCCGAGCGCAGGGAGCCAGGCCCCGAGGCTCCGGGGAGCGCCTGACCGTGCTCCTCCTCCCGCCACGGCCCGCGCGGGCCTCCCGCTATCTGCAGCAGACCCGAATCCTGCTTTGCAGATGCCCTAAGTTCTAAAGCCTCCCTGTGACTGCTCAGGCTGTTTCTCATTTCTACTTTTGTCACAAGGTCGTAACAAGCATCCTTCTACGTAACTCTTTGTATGTATCTCTCAATATTTCCTTGTGATAAAATCATATAAATGTAACTGGAAAGTCCACAGCAAAGTGAAAAGCACAGGTGTGGGTCTCTCTTGGAAGAACCGTTATGAAGAATAGATGGAACTGTGTTAACTCACAAGGAGTGCAGCAGCAAGGGAGTAGGTTTTTTTTTTTGAGACAGGGTCTCACTCTGTTGCCCAGGCTGGAGTGCAGGGGTGTGATCATAGCTCACTGCAGCCTCCAGCTCCTAAGCTCAAGTGATCCTCCCACTTTAGCCTCCTGAGTAGCTGGGACTACAGGTGTGCACCACCACGCCTGGCTCATTTTTCTTATTTTTTTTAGAGATGGTGTCTTGCTGTGTTGCCCAGGCTGGTCTCGAACTCCTGGCCTCAAGTGATCCTCCTGCCCCAGCCTCCCAAACTGCTGGGAGAAGGTAGTATTTTTAAAAAGGAGTGAGAGAGACAGAGAAGGGGAGAGAGATTTGTGCATTTAATAGGCTGAAAGGAAAAACTAATAAGTATAACATATTAAGTGCTCTGTTCCTGCTATAAAATCTTTGTACTTTCTTACCCTTATAAGCCCCCAGAAAAGTTCAATTCATTTACTTCCTTTGACAGTTGGAAAGACCTAGTTAGAAGAGAATTATTCAGTTTAAAAGTCCAGGCAAAGAAGAAAAAAAGAGAATTACTCAGTACACATGGAGTTAGGGCTTATATAGGCACTGAGGGGGCTGCCCGGGAACATAACAGAATACATATGGGCAAAGAGCACAGTTTTATCTTGTTAACTGGCACTCCTCCTTGGAAATCACATTATGTAATTCAAAGCCAATACGAAGTGGAGGCCGAGCCCCGGAGAGGAGAGCAGTCAAGCTTTACACTTGAAGAACGGGCGTCGCCTCCCTGTGTGCCGCGGCTCGGCCCCACGATGGGCTTGCCCGCCGCAGACAGGTGTTCCACAGCGTTCCCTGCCCGCGTGCTGCTGTCCAAATCTAGCCCTTCACAGGCCTACAGGGAATGGTAGTAAGTTATTGAGCTTAGCGTTCCTCGAAACTTCCATTAATTATTAGCAAGGTCCTTCATGGCTTTTACTGCAATTTTAATGAAAGAGTATGGACATTTCTCAGGCGCTGATGTGTGCAGAGACGTCAAGCCGAGCAACTCTGACTGAAACAGGTGTCCATGCGGGAGCAAGCCAAGTTCTGGCCAGGCTTTGCCCAAGTGAAGCGGAGAAGACAAATCTGAAGAATGGAGCTGGACAAGGGAGCGTCAGGGTACGAGCATGACGAGGACCGCACCAGGCGACTGCGGAGTCCTCCTTGCTCGACGTGCGCTGTCCTTTCAGGACTCCAGTCCACAGCTCCGTCTTGCCTGGCGCTCTGGGTTCAGAAAGGATGACAGGCGAGCTCTGAAATACCCGCAAGGTTGTATCTTGCTCGACGTGCGCTGTCCTTTCAGGACTCCAGTCCACAGCTCCGTCTTGCCTGGCGCTCTCGGTTCAGAAAGGATGACCGGCGAGCTCTGAAATACCCGCAAGGTTGTATCTTGCACCTAGACTTCAAGTTCGGAGACCTGTGGTCTTTGCACTCCGTGACTTTACATCTCAAAGCAATCAGGTGGTGTGTCCTGATAAGAAACCAGCGAAGGAGAACTGGGAATAAAAGGCAGAACTTCCAAGGCTGTTCATAAAGGAAGTCTGAGGACTATATTTTATAGAACATTAAAAACACATTTTTAAAGAGTGTTTAAAGAAAACAGGCAACTTACAAAGGTAGAAATGCAAACTGCCAATGTATATTCTTTCCACTTCTCAGGAAGAATCAAATAAATCCAAGATTAAAGCAAGACGTGTGTTTGGAGAAAGGCCCAGGAAGGTGCACAGTACCTACTGCTGGTGTGAGTTTGAACTGCTGCATCTCAGTAAGAAGGCAGCTTGGCTCTATGCAACTATTCGTGCCCTTTGACCCTATATTTCTAGAAATTTATCCTAAGGAAATAATTAGAGAAGCCTAAAGGCCACTGTTAGCTCAGGCAGAGATATCACTTTCACTGGAATCAGAGCAAAAAGAGGCTAGCAGTTCTGTGGCTCTGCCACCAGAGAGCAATTTATCCAACTTCCTGAAGTGTGTCTCATGAAAAATGCTAGGATAACACAGAGTTTTTTGGGCATGTTCAGAGTAAAAGCAAAGAAAGCACACATACACCCGAGGTAAGGAATGTCAATGTACAACAGGAAAAACAAAACAAAACAAAACAACTCCAAGTCACTAAGCTTTTTTTTTTAATTTTAAAAATTCTGCCCCTTGTCAGTGGGAAATCACTAAACTGTAATTTTGTTTCTGACTTCTCAGTCAAAAAGAATGAGACTCATATGAAAGAGGGACAGAAATATATTGAAAGGAATTGAATTTTGAAAACAAAATAAGTCTGTGAGAGAACTTCTAAATAAAGGGCTGTGAGTGTATTCAACTCTCCAGATGTCCTAGCCTCAGTTCCCCAGAAAGCAGAGCCCTGGACGAAGGCCTGAGCTTGCCGCGTACTTTATTGGGGGCGGGGTGACTGCAGGGAGCAGGAGAGAGGCAGGGAAGCAGGGGGCTTTCCTGACTTGGCCTGACTTACAGGCACTGGCTCCATCCCACAAGATGTCTAAAACCGTAGGAGAAGCATCTTGGAACTGCCACCTGTCCAGGGCAGACAGAGGGACATGCTTCTGTCCACAGGTGCCAGCGCCCACTACTTGCGGGCTGGGCATGCGGGCCGCCTGCGACTGGCCACGGCGGGGAAACGCTGGGGCGGGAAGCAAAGGGCCTCGGGCCAGCGAGGGGCTGTGGGATGGATCGGCCTGAGGTCAGGCGCAGGAGGGTCTGGAGGGTGTGGGACGACACCAGCTGGGGCTCTGAGCGAGGAAATTACCGCACACTGCGGTGATGTGGACCGCACACCGTGGCACTTGCAACCAGACACGGGGCCAGGTTTTAGGGACACAGACATGAGTACAAGCGGGGTCCCTTCCCGCGGGGAGCTCGGGGCCTATGGGGGGAGGCGTGGGCGACTGCCTTGGCCGTAGAGCTGTGAAACCTGTGGGGTTGTCGGTCTCTTGGTCACCAGATGGAAAGGAGAGAGAGGGCCGGGGAGGAGGGGGTCCAGGCGGGGGCGGCAGCGGGGCTGCTCAGGGCGCTGCCACCGCCAGTGGGTGTGGAAGCCCCTCGAGGAGGCGACGGCACTGAGCCTGGCTCTGATGCCCCGAGGGGAAAGGGATGGGTTTTGGGAGCGCATGCCCCCCACACAAGGAAGGGGCTTTGCCAGCCTTCCTGGACGCCTATAGGCTTGCAACTCCCACCTGGGGTGTGTTTGGAACTACAGTGTGAACACTGCTGGAAAGGCCCCGATCTCAGCCCCCTACTTTTGTCAGCACACAAGCCGCCCTCGACTGTGGAGATTATAAAATCTACCATTTGTGCTGATATATACTCTGACCTTTCCTACATTTCTAACGCTTGTAGAACGGGTAGGAACGTATGGATAAGCTTTGCATCTGCGGTTGCGGTCCTTCGGTCAGCGTGCGGGGGCCCTTCGCTCCTGGCTGGGCAAGCCATGGGCCCGGTCCCCAGACCCAGCTGCCGCGGGCGTCCCTTCGCTCTGTGTGGAGCCGCAGATGGCGTCGCTTGCTCTCTGACAGCATTGCAGCACTGCGCTCTGAAACTTTCATCACCACGGAGGCGGTTCACGCGCTGTATTTGTTTTGTGGCTTGTACAGCAGGCTTAGAAGGTCAGTTGCCCCCTCACCCGAGCTTCCGAAACTCATTATTCCTTTGTATCCACAGCGGCGAAGGTAGCAGGCACGTTAGCTATGAGGCTGCGTCCGGGGCCTCAGGCGCTAATTTTCGCAGCCAGGCGCACCTCGGTGGGGAGGCAGTGCAGTCTCGGGTTCTGAGGAGCTGAGCAGGGCTGCTGAGTGCGTGCACAGGCGGAGGCGAAGGAATGAGGCTAACTGTTTGGAGCAGGGCATCCGAGAAGGGACAGCACAGGTCGGGGTCTTGGCCACACCAGCTACAGGACCGAGGGGAAGGATGGGGAAAGATGAGAAGGGAAGGAAGACTTCTGGAAAGAGAGACTGAAGAAGGGATTAAATCTAAGTTCATTCCAGCCTGAATGTGGCTCCACTGTTCCACGTATGTTTGGGAGGCGGAGGGACTGCTTGAGGCCATGCATGGACCGCGTGGCAACGTGGGCTGTCTTACAAAAATTTTAAAAATTAATCACTTTTATTAGTATCTCTGTGTGAAGGGTGCCTCCTCAAGCAATTTAGGGTCTGAGATAGATAAATTACCAGAGACCTTGTTCAGCCCAAATAACATAATGTTTTTTCATTTATCTATGTAAAGGGAATTGCAAATCTTCGAGTGTTGGAGTATTCAAAATCGGTTACTTGCGTCACCTTCTTTGAAAGATGCTTTCATCTGAAAAATAGAGTATAAAGTTTGCAAGTTCTTGTGTAGATTCTTTTTTCAAAATTTCCATCCAGCTTGGCAAGGTTTATTCTCTAAAACAACATAGCTGGATGTGTAGGCAAGACCTATAGTCCCATTATGAAGGTCAGGCAGGGACCTTTAAGCCCAAGATTGGGTTAAGTTGTATGATGACACCACTGACTGCAGCCCAGCCAAAAGAGCCTGTCTCAGGAAATGTATAATTGCCAATTGGCTGTATCTAATTGTGGTACTGAAAAGCGAAGAATCTGTTCGACGGCTCATTTCAAGATCAACGGTTGTGCTGGCCCTACAGTCCCAAAAGGGTGGTTTACAAGGCAGATGTCTGTTCCAACGCCCCTCTGGTGCTTTCGCGCCCCCACAAACAGTAGTTGGTGGAATGGGTTGCAGTTTGGTTGTGTGATGAAAACAGGGAAAATCTCAAGCAGAGGCTGTGTAAATATTATCCTTTGAAACCAGAAGAGGCGTACAAATCTTTGACTGGTCTCTAAAGTCTTGTGTGCCGCCAAATTTTTGCCTCATTGTTTATTTTAACAGAATTGAGATTAGAGTTTCTAGAGAAGGCGTTCATCTGTGATTTTGGCAGCACCTGAAAACCCGTCGATAGGCTGAAGAACAGACCGGAAAGCAGTGAGCAGGCTGTGTCGCCAACTGCTTAAGATACCAGCCCTGCGCGTTGCTGGTTGCTAATGCGCGCGACCCCCGAAGAGAGCAGAATCTTGAGCGGAGGCCAGAAGCGGAATCGGTGCTCTAATTTTAGGTCCCACCAAGCTGACCGGTGCGGCGATTATCAGGGAGCAGTGGGACGGTGGATTAGAAAGCTAAAATAAGCGAAATCCAAACAAAAGGATGTAGAAAGTCAAACAACTGCTACGCGCAGAGGAACCTAAGTCGCTGTGATCAAGCAAGGGCACTGGTCGGGATGCACAGGGTCGGGCGGTCCGGGCGAGCGAGCGCGAAGCGGTGTGCAGGTGTGAGGCCGCAGCTGCGGTGGCGGAAGGCTCGGTGGCTGGAGAGCGGACATGCCCCTTGCGAACACTGTGCCCGCGGAGTCAGCGCAGGCTTAACGGGGGGCTTGGGTAGGTCGTTATGGAAATGACCTGGACGGTCTGGACCTCTCGCCAGCGGGATGCTGGTGAGAATGGAACCAGCGTACGCCAGAGGCCTGGTGCGGATGGCGGAGCCGCGGTGTTATTGAGGATTGGGCTGCAGGATTCGAATAACTGGATGGCACAACGTCCGTTTCACCGATGGTGTTTTGGAGACTGCTCGCTTCAAGTCAATCTTGTCCTCTATTTGGTGGCTCGCTGGTAAACCATCCGGCCGCATTGGCACTGCAGGTGGTGGTGCTCGCTATAAAAGCTCGTCAGGGCCTACTTTCTTGTGGTTTAAGGTCTCGAATTAAACAGCAATCTTAAAATATATAAAGAAGTTGTGCCAGGACAACTTTGGGTTGCTCGAGGACCAGGTGGATAAAACTCCTACAAACGGGACTGGAGATGGGGGTTTAAGCCAAAGGTTGAGGTGAGGATGGAGCGGGGGAGGGGTCGGTGGTCGCAGGATCGCTGCACAGGAGGTGGGAGGACCGATGCTAAGACTCGGCGTGATTCCTAAGAATGTCCACCAGTGGCGTGGACGAGGGCGGGAGTGGGGGAGGAGGATCACTACTGGGAAGGAGGGGCTGGAGAGCGATGATGGAGAGCACGTGTGTTGGGTCTGGGAGGAGATGCGCCTGGTGGTCACGCTGTATCCAGCTGGTAGGCTGGGTGGGGTCTTGAGCCTCAAGGGAGTTTGAGGTGAGTGAGCATGTCGTCCTAATGGCATCCGCCCTGGGCTTTACGGGGAAACCCTGTCTTCTAAAGAAGTTTGGGGGAGTGATAAGAATCGGGACAGAATGGGGCCTAAGGAGTTTTACAATTGCGGGATGTTGACAGATTGGGCAAAGGAGGTCGTGGAGTTGGGTGGGACAAGCTACTGAGGGGCGAAAATGCGGAGCGAAAGGAGGAACTGGGCGAGGTGCTGGCGGTTTGTGCGTGGAGAGTATCAAGCAGGGGTACGCTTTCGTTTGTAACTGCTACACTTTGCCGGCTGCTGGGAGATCAAATGACAGATTTGAAACTCTAGAACGGGGCTGCA